ATGACATGTGTTGTGAATCGGTGCTATGTGAATAAACTGAATGGATCTAAAGTGTGTTGGAAATTATTCCCGCTGTTTTAACTCCAAGCTGCTCTTACTTCTCTAGATCCCTGAAGAGTTCGACATCGACTCTGAGAACTTTGAGAACTCTGAGGGGTTTTATCTGTGCCCCGAGTATGCAAAGGATGTTTTTGACTACCTCAAAAAGAGAGAGGTGAGGTCCTCTAGGATGCTTTCGTGACTTTTTATTTTATTTTTGCATGTTTTATGGATTTTATGTAAATGGATAGTGCTGCAGGTTCCTAATTCTTAGGTGTGTCCTTTAGGAAAAGTTCGTCCTTTCCAACTACATGCACAAGCAGCCGAACCTCAGCCCAGAGATGAGGGCGATCCTGATCGATTGGCTGGTTGAAGTACAGGTGAGTTCTTTAGGGAATGGCTTTCTGGGTGGGAGGAAGAGGTTTCAGGGCTTTCTGAGCTGGAGCTTTTGAATTTGAAAAAGAGTTAAGACTGGTTTAGAGATGCATTTGTTCAATATTAATGCATGCATCACTTTGATCAGGTCTGGTGAAAATAGGCCATCTATGGGAGCACATCTATTCAGTCTCTATAACCAGTTTGTCAGTTAAAGATGGCTTGAAGAAACACCACTTTATGAGCATCTGTTTTATAAGTCATGCCCTTTAGCTAACAGCAACCCAGTTAGAGCAGTAATTATATCAAAATTATAAAAAAAAAATATATACATATACAAGCATTTGCATTTAAGATAAAAACTTTCACCTGGTTTAATTTCATAGAGAAATCTTCTTTAAGGAGTCTTTGGCTATCAGATTATTAATCGAAAACATATTTTACAGATTAATCAAATTGCAAAATAATCTTTAGTTTCAGCCCTAATTTGGATACATGCAGACCCAAATACTGTTTGCTTTAATGCTATCAACAATAATGGGATTTTATTATTTTAAAAGAGATTTTCATAAACTCCTGTCTACAAGCAAGTACATGTATGATTGGACACATGAATTTCCCATAAGGACAATTTGGATTAGTTGAAGTCAGAAAAGAAAGCCATAAAAAGAGTAAATTCCATCCTGAAACAAATAAGTCAGAGCTTGGTTTTAATTCTGTTCTCTGGATTTGTTTGCAGGTTCTTTTCTTTTTTCTTGAAGATGCATCCATTGCTCTAAATGTTCAAGTGGATTCTGAAAACATGCTCTCCTGTTGCATTTTAATAGCCTGACGTAGTCCGACTCAATTCTAGTCAGAATATGAGTCTGATACTGCTCCATAGAGCTGTGATTATGGGGCGTGTTTCGAACGAACCAGGAAAAAAAATGCCTCTGCACTCAATTGGATAGATCTACAACCAATAAGAGCAACGGAGTGCGTGACGTATGTTAAGCGAGGCATAGTTGTTGTCCACAAAAATCAAAGCGTGCAGTTGCACGCCTATAATAAGAAGATGAGCCTTGATCGCGTTTCTCTGTTCCTCTTTTAAAATTAATTTGCTGTCGATATCTTCTAGAACAGACCTAATAGCAGAATCTACTCACCTAAACTCTCCAGCAGCAGCCATTGTTGTTGTCACCCAAGCGCGCTTTGGTCACATGGTTGATTACGTTACTGTTGGTCATCTGTCCATCATCGTATAAAGCCCGCCCTGACAATTTGATTGGATCGCCTGACAGTGGCCGATAATACTCGCGCTACTATGGAGCAGAGCCAGACCGAACTTCCCCGAACTCAAACTTTGTGGGCGGGACTAAGTTCGGAATGGCACCCAGGCTAGCATTTTAAGATTTACAGAGGGATGCAACTAACGACTGTTTTGCAAATCGATTAATTTCTCGATTATGTTTTCGATTAATAATTGGATATGAAAAGGTTCCTTAAAGATTTTTTTATGAAATTAAACCAGGTGAAGCTAAAATTATTCCACCTGAGGAGTTTTGGATGAAGCAGATTGACGGACGTAAAATGCCTTTTTTTTGTCTTAAATGCAAAATGTTCACACATTTATTATTATTTTTTCTTAATTTTGCTATAATTACTGCTCTATGTGGGTTGTTCTGTCAGCTAAACCATGTTTTAGAGTCTACACTCCATTTAACGATGAATTGATAGCTAAATTAGTTTATTATTTAAATTATTGATTAAACAAATTATTATCAGTGTTTATTTTATGTTCTATAAAATTAATTTCTTGCATTGAACTTTTCATGTTTTTATATTAATCATACAATTTAGTATAATAAAACCACTGCAGATCTGTATTTTTTTTTTTTTATCCAAATTGATAGAATACTGAGTTACTGAAAGCCTATTAGAATTGTTTGATCCAGTTTCTCTCCTGTTTTGCAGGAGAACTTTGAGCTGTGCCATGAGACCCTCTACATGGCCGTGAAGATGACAGACCACTATCTGTCAGAAACGCCCATCCAAAGGCAGATGCTGCAGCTCGTCGGCTCCACCACCATGCTGATCGCTTCCAAGTTTGAGGTAAGAGTCACATTCGTTGATAGTTTCAGCTGAGCTGAAGCTGCAAAACTTAAAGCCGTTCCATCATTTTTTCCACCTTCGCCTGATCAGGAGCGCTGTCCACCGGCTGTTGAAGATTTCCTTTACATTTGTGACGATGCGTACAAAAGGGAGGAGCTCATCGACATGGAGGCCAGCATTCTGCAGGCGCTTTCGTTTGACATTAACATTCCCATCCCTTATCGGTTCCTCAGACGCTACGCCAGGGTGAGTAGTCAGGTTTTGCCTGCTGCATCAGTATGATCCGATGTTTTTTTTTTTTTTTTACTTGGCTCATATGTTGTGTCTCTGCAGTGTGTGAGTGCCAAGATGGACACCCTGACTCTGGCTCGTTTCTACTGCGAGATGAGTCTGATGGAGATGGACTTTGTTTCGGAGCGGGGCTCGCTGCTGGCATCAGCCTGCCTGCTGATGGCGCTGGTCACCAAAGACCTGGGAGGATGGGTAAGCTGACCATCTAAGATAAGATGGCCTGTTCTGCAGCTCTTGCTACCTTTTCTTCTTGATCCCAACGGCACAAAAAATGTGTGCAGGTGTTTGATTTATCTCTATTGTGGATTAGTGATGGCTTCAGACCAGTGACCAACCTCACTTTGAAAAGCTTGCATTTATAAAAGATTTTATAAATGGCAAGCTTTACCATATTATGATGTTTGGCTCAACCTGCTTCTGTGAAGCAGGATTCTCCACCATGAACAGAATCAAAAATAAACTGGATCCAGGCTCAAAATGAGCTCCTTGATATGTGCTTTAGAATGGCTTAGTCTCCATTCAAACCCAGGTTTAAAGCCTTGCAGGGCAGCATGAAGCCCACTGCGAACATTAAGACAGAAAAAAGGAAAAAAAAATAACATACAGACAATTCAGATGTTTTATAAAATATGTGAATCAGGAAATTGTTTATATACCAAACTGAACGATTTTTCTCTACTTAAAAAAAAAAACACTTTATGTTTTAAAATGGAAAAATTATCTTTTTTTTAATATTTGAAAATTCAATGTATAACATGGATGCATAAACACCTCATTTTATTTCATTTAAATTCTGTTTAAAGTAACAGATTATAATTAGAGATGACTCTGGACTGGTTGATGGATTTTCTTTATTTGGACCCAGCTGATTTTTAATTGGTTACCCCTGATCTAAAACATGCCTTTAGCTGACATAGCAACCCCATAGAACAGCAATTAAACCTGAATAACAAAAAAAAACCATAGAAACTTTTCCATTAAAATATAACTGTTCTGCTATATCATCAATCTCATTAAGGACAAGTTTTAGTTACATCTGGTTTAAATTTCGTAAAAAAAAAACCAAAAAACTATCGGCTTATTAATATTAAAAAATAATGGACAGCTTCTTTGATTAGTCTAATGATCGTTAGTTGCAGCCCTGGACTGCATGCCGCAGCAGCCGTAGCCCCACAATTACAAATACTGCTCTGAAAAAATACATCTATAAAGATGGATTTAAATAAATTAAGTCACATATAATTAAATGCCAAATAAATAAAGAAATCCCACAGAAAGAAGTGTGAGTTATATCACTAAATGTAGTAAGCACATTTAATCCTACTCTTTGAATTTGCTAATGACCTAATGGTAAAAAGAAAAGAGTAAAATATTTAAAGTAAAAATTTAAAATTCACCTTTTATTTTATTTTTAGTTTTTCTTTATCATTGCTTATTCAAATTTAATGTTTAGAGAAATCAAATTTGTTAGGCCTATAAATGTAATTTAATGACAAACATGATAAATGCCCACCCCTAGTCCACACTAAAGAATGTATCACCCCAGCATAATGCTGCCACCTCTATGTTGGGCCGGTGTGATGAGCGTTGGAGGATCTGCTGGGTCCTCTGACTGCTTATAAACCCTCTTTCTTGTTGCTGCCTCTCCATAGCGATCAAATCAGAGGTGATGATCGACTAGTTGAACGATTATTCCAAAGTGCTTTACAATAAATACAGCATAAAGAGTAAAATCTATGTATGGTGTTCTAAGCTTAGGTGTAAGTTTTCTTTATTTTGTTTTCCCTTCAGTCTCCCATCCTGCAGTTCCACTCCGGCTACCAGGCGTCTGATTTGATGCCTTGTGTCAGAAAGCTCCACTCTATGCTTCTAGCGCCACCTGACGATAAACTGAAAACCATCAGGAACAAATATTCTCATAAGTAAGTCTGAAAACAAAGAGGATTTGCATTCTGAACATTTTAGGTCTAATAATGTCTGTTTTTCTTATTTCAGGGTGTTTTTTGAAGTTGCTTCTCTTCCCCTGGTTGACATTGATGTTTTGGAGAAAGTCTTAGCCTCACCATGAAGATGGAAAAACGGGTCCAAGTGGAGGGAAACCTTCCCTTAGGAAACCTTTGTACATAGTTTGTTGATATGTTAAATATTTATATGTAGTCCAGTTTGTTTTTCCATGTGATATTGGAAATAAAACCAGTTCAGAAGGAGTGTTTTCCATGTGGGCATTGTTATCAACATGTTAAAGAGTTATTTTAATGTAGGATTTTTTTCTTTGTTGTTTTTATACTTATGTTTTTTTTATAAGAAGAATGAAATGTTTATCCGTTAGTAATGCGTCACCTCCTCTGTGTATATTTACTAATTAATTATGCTCTGGCCCACAAGTTTTAGACGTTTCCAAACACTGTTAGCAGCTATGCTTGCTTTTATGTTTGTACAGTGTTTATCATGTTATTAATCTAATATTTTGTATAGAAAACGACCAAATAATGCTCTGTTTTTTTTTTTTTTTATGGGCGTTATGCATAGTCTCAAAATAAAGAACTGTGTTTTAAAAATTTTTTTTACCAAAGACTGGTTATTTCACTCAAAGCTTAAAATGTCGATTTAAGAGAACATTAATTTTAAGCTTTTGAATCCTTGTTAAATGGAGCCATGTATTTATTTGTAGGTTGCAATTGCTCATTCTGACCACTAGAGGTCAGTAACGCAACACAAATGATTCTACTTGGTTTTTCAGAGTGATGGGATTAGAAGGCGCCTGGATCATCAACAGATCTTTCTTATTGAATGTTATAATAGTGAAACAGGATTTGTGTCTAGAACCTGTGAGGCTTCTTGCAGCTTTAACATTATTCTTGCCTCCCATTCATCACTGCAGATTTGAAGAATACAAAGAAATGCTAAAACCAATTCTAAATTAAAATTTTTGTTTTGTTTTTTTTTCCAAAATAGACTAGTGTTCCTAGACTAGTGAAATTGAAAAGGCTTGTTTGCCAAATGGTGCTTTACACATTTAAGGTATTCTGTTAAAAGCTAAACACATTAGCGTGTGTAAAGTTAGTATAAGTTGGCCAGAAGTTGAACAAGAATGTGACGAGCAAATGCATAACTGATGCAATTTCTGAGGAAAAGCACAGTGGAAGATGTTAAAAAGTATACAATTTGAGATTAGATTAAATGGCATACGCGTGCTTGGAGGTAATTAGATTAAATGATATACATGTTAAGGACTACAAACCTAAATTTTAATTTTGATATTTAAATGTGATGTACAATAAGTAGGGTATTTTGATAACAATTTAGTCAAAGCTGGTATAGTGGTGCTTAAATATTAATTAGTTATATAACCGTCAAATCATGTCTACTTTTTATTATTTGAAAGACATATTTTTAACATTTGCTCTATTTAATTTGGCCTGTTTCAAACGAGCGCTCCACTGAAGTGGAATTTTCCCCACAAAGTTATTGAATGTTTGACCAATTAATAAAAATCAGTAAAAATCAGCTAAGTTTTTCTTAGAGATGCACCAATCCAGTGTTTTCTGATACAATAAAAGGGTTGAGCCTATTGGCCGATATCCTATATGATACAATTCAAATGTTGAATGAATTAACCATATATGATAAATAAACATTGTTAAAAATAGGTAACAAGTTAACACATATGTAATTTTTTTAACAAATAAGCAGAAAAAAGCAAGATATAACATTTCTATGTAAACTTCATTTGGATCTCATTTGTCAATCACGATTAATTCTCTTCTAGGATATATAGAAGCTTTACACATTTAGACACTTGACATTTTTGCCCTTTTTCTTCCCTGCAGCCTAATTGAGCGGAGAGAGTCTGAACATCAAAGGTCTTACCAAAGATTGGTTGGATTTAACTGCCACATTTCAAACACATGCTTTGATCTGAATCAAGAGTGTCAAACTCAATCATAGAACAGGTTAAAACCTTCATCTCAGACCAGGCTGTGAGCCAAACAGGATATATGTTTATTTTATTAAAGGGAAATTGCCTATTTTAATCATGTGGATCGTGCAAGAAAACTATGAATTTATAGTCATTCAAATATAGGGTAAAATCAATTGTTGATTGTTAGTTGAATGATTAAAACATAGTATGCCTACTCACCATGGTTCTAAGTCTTTTACATAAAGGTTGGACTGCTGGGCTGGCTGTTTAAATCCAGGTGCCTTCACCAATCAAATAATTTACACCATGGCTATTAGCAGAGTTATTAAATAAATCTGTTCATTCAAATGTTATTGAAAGGAGGGTTAATCTGACTTGAGTGATAAACCGCTCACTGCATAAAATAACCACAAAAGACCACATTATTGTATCTAACAACGATGCAAACACTAAACACTACTGAAAACAAGAAGTAACAAGTAAATAAAAGAAAGCAAAAAAAGGGGAAAGGGATTTTAAGAGTCCATTCAAGAGTCTCAGAGGTATTTTTAATTTTGAATGCATCCTTTAAAATAGCAGCAGATGAATCTGCGTTACCGTGATGCAAAGATATTAAATGCACTCAAAACAGTGAAATTTTACCTGGTTTTAATGTGAAAAATGAGCAATTATTCAGGAATGCATTAAAAGATAGTGTGGCTGGAAAGAATCGCACTGGAAAAAAATGAAATCTAGTTAAGTCATTTTTTCTTAAAATAAGTGCATTATTTCTTGGATTGAGGAGGTAAAAGAGACATTTTGCCAATGGAACAAGACAATTGACATTTAAAATAAGAAAACACAATGATACTTGTCTTATTTCAAATGCATTTTATCTAAATATCTTATTTCAAGAGTAAAAATACTCATTCCATTGGCAAACTATCTCCTTTACCTACTCAAATTAAGGGTAAATACGCTTAATTTAAGACCGTTTTACTTATTTCTAGATTGTTTTTCCAGTGCGGTTATTTCAGCTAGTACCAGGGGCTTCCGGCTCGGACCAGCTAGAAGAAAAACAGGTAAGAAAACTCATAAAATGGCTGCTACCATGTGGCCAGCAATGAAGTAGCTTGGAGCCAGTTCAACCACAGCAGCTTAACTCTTTAAACAAATAGAAGAAAAGGAATTAAGTAGACAGGAACAAGCTTGGCCTTGTTTCTTATTTATTTAGTTTTTGTACGAGACTAAGAAATTGTATCACTTTGCATGTTCAATTAAATACACTAACTTCTTCCTGTTACCTTGTTCCCCTTTAAACAGTTTGATTTGTTGCATCCAACCAGACATCCAGAGTATTTAAGTAGAGTGCATGCAGATTTTCTTTCATCCTTGAAAGGCTGGAGAGGGAAATAAAACCCTCAGAGATTTATTTGATTGTTTGTAGGTCCTCAGCTTGAACAATAGAACAGTTGCCAGTGTCAATAAATTATAAGGCAGACATGCGCTTTGAACTCATTGAACGACTTGTTCAGTTTATCACCAATGTTTGCATTTGGTATTACTGGGACATTTGTTCGCAACTGGGGATTTGGCACAAGTGTTCATGCTGCTCTTCTCCACAGAAGCAGTTTTTTGCAGCTATGTAGCTGTTGGGAGTGTGAGGATATGCAGTGTGGCTCTTATTACACTCATATTACCAGATGTAGGACTATACACTGGAAAAACGATCTAGAAATAGGTACGCATTTCTTAAATTAAGTGTATTTACCCTTAATTTGAGTGGGTAATGAGGTAGTTTGCTAATGGAGTGAGTATTTTTTCTCTTAAAATAAGATAATTAGATAACATGCACTTGATATTAGACAATGCAATTGTGTTTTCTTATTTTAAATGTAAATTGTCTTGTTCCATTGGCAATATGTCTCCTTTACCTCCTCAATCCAAGAACAAATGCACTTATTTTAAGAAAAAAAAATCACTTATCTAGATTGCGATTTTTTTCAGTGTAAATGAATGAAATTGAATTGAAATTCTATTCTTGACTAGAATTTAACATCTTGGCTGCTGCTCTTACTACCGTTTTAGAAAAAAAGCTGTACCACATTCTTCAGATTCATTATCAGATGATGGGTTGACAGGGCTTTTTTAAAAGTGTTAAATTACAGGAACATTTTAGAGGGATGTTGGCTGCAAAAAGAAATATCAATTTACAAATTTAAAGGTATTTTAGAAAATTAGACTCTATTTATTAACAGGATTTTCTGTTGGCAGACAGAGAAGTGCCATTTAAATGTATTCCCCTGCATTGACTTGAATCACGCCAACAAGAACCATTTGTAGACAAAGCTCTTGTCTGCCCTTTAGTATTTTTTAAAGTCTAATACAGACATGCTGCACATTTCAAACGTGGGACGTTGTCGTCCTTCAGTTCATTTCTCTGGAAATCACCTCACACAAACACTCAGAACGCTGCTGCTTCTGCTCCCAGAGCCATCTGAGCTCATTATTCCCAACGTCACTCACCCGATCAATTAAAGTGATTGATTGGCTGCAGTGGGCATGCAGGCATTGGGAATGTGAGTGTGAATTTTATCCACCGCTTCACTCAGATCAACAATTCGGATAACACCCCCTGATTAAAGTGTGGTGGTGCAGATAGTGCCCATCCCGTTGGGGTAGATAATAATCTGAACCGTAGCTGCCAAACTGCATATGAGCTATTGATCAGAAGCTGGATTGGAAACCAGCTTTCACCCTGCTAAGCACTGCACTCTCAGGCAGGCATAGTTTGGTTTGTATAATTCTTTCTTATGAGATGCAAGTGTTTATGTCTCATCCTTATAGCTTTTACTGTAACAAAAAAAACATATGCACCCCAGATCCAGTCATTCAATAATCTTGTATCCTTTGTTTTTGCAGAAAATGCTTTTTTTGTTTTACCTATCTGACGGTCCAGCCTGTTCTCTCTTAATGTTTCAGTTGGAGTACTTATATCTAAAAGGCCTCTTTATCTCTAAGGGCCTTTGGGACTAATTCTTTGTAAATCTTTGCTCGGCCAAGTCAGCTAATTACAGGAACATTTTAGAGGGATGTTGGCTGCAAGCTTGTCCTAATTAAGCCTCTTGGCAAACAGAGCTTGTTTTGGGTTTATCTGGTCTGACTGCATTTTAGCTGCTGCCACCAAGCAGAGTTATTTACAATGAGCTGTAATTCAAATTGATTTACTTTAACTGGAAGGACTTCAAAAAGGAAAAGCTAGATTTATGTAGAGGTTTACAAAGATTGGTATGTTTGATATCAGTCCTATAATTTTCAGATATTCCCAAAATTACTGAATTCAAAATTACTGATGTTTATTATTTATCTATAGTGTGTAATAATCTAAGTGACAGATTAATGATTTTGCATGTGGAATGCGGGAGTTTTTTTTTTTCTTATTGCATACTAAAACTGTTTACCAAACCTTACTGGCTGATTCTGTGGTGCTCAAAAGCAAAAGCTGCTTAGCCTGTGGTATGCAGTCAAGCGAGAAATTTAAAACACTCATTAATTAATTAATTCTTTTGTTTACATGTTGAGGTCTAATTTAATTTCTTTTGATCTCTTGAAAAGAAAGTTACTTTATTGCATTTTAACATTGTT